TGATTTTAGTAGCATGATTGAAACTAGCATATACTTTTATATTTTCTCCTTTGATCTCTGCCTCTTTGGAATTTTGTCAAACATCAAGGCAAATAAATCAGACCCACCACTGCAAACCCATCTGCTTTCAGGGACATGTTAGCACACCACTTTGTAATGTTTTACCATCCATCGTGGAACCAAAGGAGTATCCTTGTGGAGTAAGAACAGAAGGCACTTTCTAAGGTCAAAAGTTTTTCAGCTCTGAGTCATTTATCTGCTGAGTGATTGTAGCTAGGATGGTCTACATTGTCATTTTTAATGACACTACCTGATTGGCATGGTACTTATAAAGTTGAAATGATTTTATGGTAGATGTAAAGTAAAAATGCAGCTTATACTTTGTACTTGACAATAGGGATTGATAAGAAAAGATGCTGTCGTTGTTTTTAAAATATGGCAAATCAAGCTATAGACAAGGTGTTCATTTGTCAGGATATGACTTTTACACTTGTGCTGCTGCTAAGGTTACATATGAAAACAGTCATCCTCACTAGAATACCTTTCTAGCTGTTGACAGCCCAGAAATTGTTTCATAAAAAAATAATAGGCTACGGTCATCCGAATCTGTCTTCCTAATACTTGTTGACGCCTCCGTGCTGCATTCATTTCTTTCTCACAACAACTAAGTCAGTGATGATTCTCTTGAAATAGGAAATAGGAGAATTGTAAACATGTCAGGGTATATAAGTTATACTGGAAGAACAGCTTGTGTAATACTCTTGATAGCAGCCTCTAAATTGAACCCACATTAAAATGATCAAAAGTCAATTAAGCCGTTTACCATACCTCCTAGAGTTGACTTTAAACTGATCTTCGACAAGCTAAATTATATCCTCTGTTGGACCATGAATTTTATTCACTAAAGATTGATGTCTTTTTTGAGGATAAGTTTAGTCTTATGACTTAATGGTTTAGAAATTAAAGGGAATCCTTGAGATTTAGTTTCTGTGTGGTGGTAGTGTCAGGGTTGTGGGGTATAGGGCATAAAACTGAACTTTTCAGACTTTATTACAAACCTCTCACTGCTTTGTGGCCTGAATCAGCTTTGTGCATGGCCCAGCCCGACTAAGACAGGACACAGGAAGATCTCAAGGACTTTGCCTATAAGTTACATTTTGGTGTTGATGGTCCGGAAGGGAGGCATGCAATCGTGACAGTGGTATTTGTCCTTTCTCTAACCATGACTGCAACCCTTCTCTGATCCTTAGAAGCTAAATTCTAAAGTAATAATTGAAATGACGACTGCTCTGGCAAATTTAACTTCTACTCTACCTTGTCCTTCCTCTCCTTCTGGCTGTATCTGTGTACATCTCTCTCTATTGTATAGGTTATATGCAAAGCTGGGGCCAGAGTATGTATCCATTGATAAAAACAGTACTTTATCCACTTTTTATTTTACTAATGGATTGCTAGAAACAAGGATAATTTGGAACCCTAAGATGCATGATAGGAAATTAAACAGGGTGTTTGTGCTTTAATACACCATCATGCTGTAAATCTCTAGGGGAATACGTTTCATAATCATAACGTTTATGATACCTCCCAAAAGGGTTGTTTATTATTTAGAGTGTACAAATACAGAAGCTTGTCTAAAATATATATGCACCAAAAAGCTTAAACAGTTAAGTAATGATTCTTAAGGAAAGGGGGAATAATTATTAATAATAGTATTTGCTTATTTAACGAGTATTCAATTTATCCTAGGCAACGTGCTAAGCACTTTCATGTATTATTTTATTCTAAATAACATTATGCATTTGGTATTATCATCCTATTTTACAGATGAGAAACGAAAGGTTAGCAAGATTAAATAACTTGTTTGAGATCCTATAGGTATTAAGTGAGGAAAGCAAAAATAGAATCAATGAATTTGGCTCCAAAGCTACTAAAACATCGTATTGGGCTCTGAGGAGCAGAACAGGAGATGCATCTACTGAGAAGTAAATTGCGGGCCAAGTTGTGAGTCTAGACATTGGGGAAGTAGCTGCCCCAGAAGGAGTGACTCCTTCCCTCTTCTCATCCTGGAGACAGTTGGCAGGACTGAGGGAGCCCCTGCTTATGGGAGCCTTCGAAGAAAATGACCTCGTATCAGTTTAGGTTGTGCTATAAACTGTTTTTAGCTGTATAAAAATAAAATGTTTTCCCATGAAACTCTTTCACTCCAGATATTTAGACGGTGAATTATTTGGACTCTTTTTGTCCTTCCTCACTGTTCATTTTATTTCTTATAAAAATTGACCACTACAATTGGAGTTAAGTCTAAAAAGAAAGGAATTACTATTGAAGAGAAAAATCGTTTAGGCTTCCTTTTGGAAACTGTTAGATCTGGCGACTCTGACTCAAGTATTTGTTGAATGAGTGAGTGAGTGAATTTGGAGGATTATGTGCGGATCCTAAAATATGTACTGTTTCTGCTCTCAGCTATTATAGGTAATTTGGAGGTGGATTAACTTTAGCTTTTGTTTCAAAAACACAATTATTTCTTTTAATTTTCACTAGTCTAGTACACAGTTTTCATTCCTATTAGCCTGTTTATAGAAGTCTATTATACCTCTTGACCTTCACTCATATGAAAGGAATCAGTGAACAAGGTAGCAAAATAACTTATGTAGTCGATAAAGTGAAATTCCAGAAATTATTCCCTTCGCCAACTGAGAGCAATATATAAGAAGAAAACTCTACGAACATACATATATGTAGAAAGCATTTAAAAGTAATCCTAGGAAGGGAAATTTTATTAAATAAGGAAAAGTTGGTGATTCTATTTTCATTTGATTTTGCTCCTTTATTTCTTAAACAAGGAAGATCACGTAGCATAGAAAAAAATTACTCAGTATTATGCAAATTTACTTCCTAGAAATTTTTGATCAATTTTTCTTTCCCTGAATCAGACTACTGGTACCATTTAAATGCAGCGTGTTGCTAAATGTGTAAGCAGTTTCTGGGAAATATAGTCCAGGGATTTCTCTCTCTTAAAGGTCCTGAAAAGTATAAAAAGAGTTACCCCGTGGGCAACTGGGCACGTTTGCCCCTGAAGTAGTTCAGCAATGGCAGTAGTAACATTTTCACTGGTCATCTTTGAAGTGCTTTATGCGTGGAAACTATTACTATATAGAAAAAGAACCTTCCTGTTGGAGAAAACCTGGGCAGTGAAAACTTTGGTTTACCTGGTTACCAGATTTTCATACTTATACTCCAGACTGAATAAAACAAGTATTTCGTAATGTATCTCTTTATACGTTACCTTTAAACTTGACTTTGTTCTGCATCCCCCACTATCCCAAATGTCTTTATCATTAGAAACTGCATTTACCTTGACAAATATAAACTTTCCTTTTATGGGAAAATTAGGTATCCTTTTCGAAAGTATCCTTTTACCTAAGTTATGGTGCTTTTTTTTAAAGGATCTATTTTAATTCAGTTTTAGCATTCCATTCCTGTAAGCCATCAGAATTTCCTCTGGATTAATTTGTAATATGTCTGGTGTTTGCTAGCAAATTTGGAACTTTTCAGTTTGCTTCCTTTCTTTCTCTACATGATATAAGATCTAATTACCACCCAGCATGAAATAGCAGCTAAAATGAAAAAGACAGCAAGAGAAGCTACTGGCTTAACTTAGAGCTAATCAACTACCCCCTTCATGTATCGTTCTCAGCTGTAAGGAGAAAGGGAACTAGCACTCATTAAAGTAGCTCATATATTAAACATTTTTTTCCTTTCTTGATTTGAGACTGAAAGAGGGGATTTGTTCAAATCTTTATGGAAAGAAGACATTAAACAATGCTTTTAATTTACAATTAGTAATCTTGGATGCTTCTTTGAATTGTACAAAATACTTTCACCATCAGGGTTGCTAGAAGTAGTCCCATCTTATTTTCTTGACATTAAAACAGATAAACATTTCCAGGAATAAAATAAAATCAAGTGAATGCTTAATCATTTTTATAAGGCTTGGCATTTTACTCAATTTTTAGCTTTTGGTTCCTGAATCTGTCTAAAAAAAGTCTCTAGGTTTTTCTTTAAAGTACATGTCATCTTAATATAGTAGCTTGTAAGCTTTTTGTTTTGTGGAGTGAGTTGTATAATTGACCTAGTGAGGGGGGGAGGTTGATAATATTTTTACTTTTTAAATGACTGTAGTCTGAGTTTTTATTTATCAGATTGTCAGATTTGAAAACTAAATGGTATGTGGTACTGGGTGGCTATGGAGATACACATACTCTGCTATTGTTCGGAGTCTGTGTTGGTACAACTCTGGAGAGAGAGTACTTTTATCAAAATTGAAAGTGCATACACCTTTTGACCTAGCAATTCAAGCTCAAAGAATC